CAAAGGTTTATTTTCTTTCAAATCGCACATCCAGTTACAAATAAACATTTATCCACAATCATTTGGCTTATCGGTAAATAAAATAAAAATATTTCAAAAATAATATTTACACTTTTTTTTTTCTTATTCATTTATTTAACGGATTTTACGTCCACTATTACAGGTCTTTCGGTCCTTCAGCGGACGAGCAAAAAATATCCCTGTTAATCATTAAATGCAGATACTGACCCTGTTGTGTACACGTCGTTTTTGTAACTGTTTTAACCTCCTATCTTCGCAGGCGGTAACCTAGCAGAACCTGTTGCGTAATAGTGTTGTTATCTTTGCTGTGTTACAGATACAATTAAGAGAACTCATGCTTGTAACGGACATTCTGAGGTGTGTAAAGTTACAGAGTGTTTACGTTCTTATCAATCACATGTTCACATCAACAATATTAAAGAAACATGTTCAGATACGTGTAATATCAAATTACTCTCAAAATAGCCTATCAGCGAAAAACTTATCATTCTAAGCATGAACTGAATGTCTAATACAACAGGTTATTTTTCTTTGATGACGTCAAACACCAGAGGAAACGTAAATAATCAATTACAATGTTCTTTATTATTGTCATTTCGTGTCATTCTATGGTCACCCGATTACGATATCTTTTTTAAATGAAAGTTCCATTATCACTATTATAAAAAAAATTATGTATGTGCGTGAAACTAGTTAGTACATTAAAAAAAACCATCAAATATCATGGACATTTATTTCTGTGCTGTTGTGGTTGTGTTCTTATGCAAGATAATTCATCCGAAATATTACGCACGGCATGCATTGGGTCGCATCATTTCCAATACTGCTTAAACGAGATCACTCAACAGAATGACCCTTGACATTCATGTGACGATTAAACCAACCGAAAAACAGCAACAATATCGAAGTTTAACGCTGTTTGATTAAGTTTAGTACGGTACCGTAAGAAAAATGTCCTCCATTAGATAAAAACATCTTTTATTTTCAAAATTTTCTATGGCAGATATAACTTTTTATCTCTCTATTCATTTTGATATTGTCGTAACTAATATTTTACAGAATAGATAGATTGTGTCATGTTCCTGATGTTTTATTTGTCGTGTTCCGCGTATTTAATGTCAACTTCCATCTCGAGTAATTGTCCTCCATTTATCTCGAATCGAATAATATATATTTCGACATCATTTCAAATAACCATTCGTTATTTTTCGTTTAAGATTTCTCTTAACTTAAAAGGAAACCAACAGTAGTTAGTAAAGCGAGACAACTAAGACGAAGTCTTATGATGGGCTTGGCTAGTGCATACTGCCTCCGAGAATAACGATGTGTTTTTGTTGCAGTCAATTGTGATGAATTTGATTTGTATTAAGATGTAGCACGCATCTTTCTATTTCAGATTTATATACAGCTGACGAAGTACATTTGAGAGAGTGTAGCAATATGGTAAGTTGAAATACATTCATGGATTTCTCTCGCTAAGTCTTAATTACGTTGCGGGTTGATTTTGGTAATTATACATAAATATGACATGTCGCTAAACATAAAAAAAGTGTTTTTGACATGTCCTTTGTTCTTGGAATATTCCTTCCAGTCTTGTGAAAGGCATTTCTGCTGGCGGATGATTTCTTAATTGCACATAATGAAATCGGTTCAAAATATTTTCAAAATTATTTTGACAATTTTTACTTCTAGCAGTTGTGATTTTCCTAATTCATCTTCTGGATTGCATCTCTGGAAGGTCAGCTAAACAAGAAATCCGAGTATATCTGACTTTCTATCGACTTTTCAATAGCAATCCCGGTATATCGACTTCGAAACGATACGAAATGTTAATGCCTGTATAACGTTAACATAAGTTTATCTAGAGCGGATGTAGTCTATTCACAAAATACTGTATAACTGAATTCATATTAAAATGTCTTTTTCATTAGTTCGTATTTGTACAATAATTTTCAGAACAGGTACATAGTATAGATACTAGAACACGGAGTCTACAATTGAAATTGGAACGGTAATTATCTATTTTTAGGGGTCGTATTTGAGCAGTGCCGTATGACAAATAAGAAAATTATAGTATGACAAAGGGTAGACAATAATTGCCAGTACTGAAAATAAAGAAATCAGGTTTATTTCACTTTAAATTGGTCTACAAAATAATTATATAATTAAGGTACATAAACAATATAATACTCAAGTTGAAGTCAAATCCAATTACCTTTAAATCAAAAATTGCAAAGTTCAGTCTAAAATCTAGACTGAAACATTAATATTGGTGAAAGTTCTAGGAAATATATTTGAAATAACATCAAGACATTCTTAATCGTTTTATTTTCAAGCATTTGACAATTTGCGTTATTCTACAGGAAGAAAGTTGATTTAGAGAAAACCTAGAGATGCCGATATGGCTGACAATTTACTTTCATAGCTTAAGACCAAAATTATCCAAATCACATCACAGAATGCGTTATCCATATAATACTGACACTATGCTTTTTTTTAAGGTTAAACTTCTACATGTTAATAACAACACATAAATTCTATAGAGTAAAATTACAAATATTGCGATAGTGTACAGAGCTAGCTAATAATTCTTTTTTTTTTTTTTTGTAATTTTTTTATTTTCCAAGATTTTTCAGTACATGTACATAACATAGGACACACACACACACACACACACACACACACACACACACACTTAAGTCATGAGGATGATGACATCATCATCATCACCATCATCATCATCATCATCATTATAATGCAATCATCATCATCATCATCATCATCATCATCATCATCAATGTGGTGTTGTTTTTGTCTTTTGGAAAAAAATGTGTAAGACTGTTTAAAAGACAAACGTTATGAATAAAATTTACACTGATAAACTGAAATATACATTTCAGTATAAACAGATATACATGTAAATACTTAAAAAGAAAAAAATTCTATATTCTACAATTTATTTTTTAAAATCATAATTTATTTACATTAGTAACAAATAAAAAAAAATTAAATTTGAAAGACAAAGAACAAAACTTTATATTAATATACAAATGTCATGTGCAACAATCAATATGTTTCTATAAGAAAGATTCAGTTAGATTCAATATCACAAGAGTTCAAATCACAACAAAATTCACTAGATTGGATCCAGTCATCACAGAAACTCCAAACGGCAAATATTTTGTCATACTGTAATGCATATACAATGTGTGATTTTATACAGCAGATATTTAATCCCTTCTACCAAAGCAAAGTCACTTTCATACCACCAGATACTGTATCTTCTACCTCATTTAATTTCACAATTTTCGTCCATGCACAGGGAGAGGGAATTCAAGATGAGGGCGAAAATTTGGTTTATTTTTGTAACCCTTTTTACATGCTATTCAAAAACGGAAATGGTCATGAGATGGATTTGAGTTTAATGTACACGGACAAAAAATAACCAAGTTTGCAGTATTTGAAAAGTAGCTCCTTCATAACCAGAACTGAATTTTTCAAATTTTTTTCAAATTTTTTTTTGCATTATGTATTTACTAGATATCAGCATATGGAATAAACAATTTCTGATAGTATTAGGTATTAGTAAAACAAAAGATATTGGTAACCATACATTGTCATCTGAATACCATCTGATATAAGGCATGTCCTATCTTACTAGCATCAAATATGGCATCGTTAAGTTATCAAAAATTTTAAAAATAGGAAATGTGACTATATTTGGATTTATCTGAAGATGCTGTGAGAGGTAGATCAAATGATATAGTCCCTATTATGTAAGACTTTCATGGAATTGATATTCTTTTTATCACAAGTTTCATAAACCACTTGTACATGTATCACATAAATAAGGCTGGAATTTGTGGGAGGGGTTCTTTAGTCTTCAAACAGAAATGGACCATAATATTTGAAAACAGGATCAGCTATTGAAATTCATGTGAATAGAGATTACAAATCCTTATAAAAATATGCCAAACATATGGGTATTTGTAGGCTAGACAAAAACCCACACACAAGTATTCAGTTGATTGTCCTCAGCACAAATCACACAAATTAACTCGACAACGGTCCTCTATAGACCTGTTATGAAACGACTGGAGTGTTAGTTATAAATTGCATATAAAAATGAAGTTCAGTTTCTCTTACACAAACATAAAACATACAAATAAAATGTTTACAGAATGCTATATTGGTTACAGTGAGCATTTTATAGCATTGCGTGTGGAAATTCCAAGCAGTTAAAAACAGAACCAAACCCACAAACTACATATGTAATAAGCCGAAGACAACAGACTTGCTTGAACTTGCAGTTGCTGCAGCCTGGAATTTTCTTATAATTTTTGTTAAAAAGGTAGCATGGCCTACAAAATATCCCTTGAAGCATTGATGTGAAAATAAAACATACCAAAAGGTTAAAAGAATTTGAATGACTATAACAAACACATAGCTGGGTACATTAAAATTAGAAATTTTTGAAAATTCATGATTTTCCAAAAGTCTCTTCATTGTATTAGACCTATAATTCAAATAAATGCTTTTTACATACAAAAAAACAGTCAAGCAAACATCTACGTAAAATGAGATTTATCTACGAGGAGGGGTTAAAGTGTTCAACAACAACTAATATGATGATCTTCGGACTGCCGACAATTTGTTGGTCTGTCATAATTAATAAAAAAATTTATTCATATTTTTTGAAAGATATTTTCTAATTTCATGAATGAACATCAAATCTAGCATTTCAATTTGTTACTTTCATCCAGAAATACAACAGCAGATGAAAACTTATATCAAAGTACATGAAAACAGCATGAACCATTGAAATTCTTCACAATCAAACTTTTAAAAAATTCCAAGATATCATCAATAATGATCATTTAGAAAAAGATCAATTTATAAATGATGAATAGAAACTTTAATGATTATCAAAAATAAAAAATTTGTGAAAAAAATATCAACAAAGTATATGAAGTCACCAAAAGAAATTGAGCAAACAGTATTGGAATGTGTCTGTAATAATTTATTTAAGATATACAAAAGGTGAGATATTGACTCCAAGCTTCACTTTTGATTATAAACTGTTATCATGGCACAAGAGTTTTCCATAGTATCACAAAATTGATATTTATGAAATGCATTTTCATAATCATGTCACATATTTCTGTTAAGAAAATATATCATTATTAATTGCATTTGGGCCATTTTATCAGACATGAAATAATCTAAAAAAACATTAACAAAACAAGTCTCAGATGAAAAGTCTGGAATTTACCACATCTTAACTTTAGGAGACCGTTTGCTATATACAAAAATATGCCTCCAATCTAATTTTGAAATGGTAAAATAATGACTAAATTGTTTGGATTTCTAAATTATCACCTCACAAAAAAGACCTACGTGTAAAATATATTAAATATTCACCACTTATCGAGATTGTTTCTCAAGTTCTAGATAAAAGTTAAACAGTAACGCTTTGAAGGATTAAGGACTCAAATAATCAAGTAATGTTATTCAAAATTAAATAAAAAAAAAAATACAAATGATATTCATTATCCTATAGAAGTAAGGGATTACATGAACAATGTATGTAAAGAGAAGTAAACACATGCTTCCTCCTCTTTTCCTGTGAACATTGTTAAATTCTCCTTTACATGCCTGAAATTAAATATTTCAGCTTCAACTTCTAACTCTTTCCTACATTTAATTTTTCCCCAATTGGCAAAAGGTTAAGACACTTTAAATTTCAACTGTGGTGGCTGACATCCTATGTAGAGTATTAATTTAAATGTTATTGAACACTCACATTAAAAGTCTGTGTAACACGTTTCAACAATCACTGATTTTGAAGATTCTTCATTTTGATGACCCAACCATCGTTGGAAGGCATGAAGACAGGGTTAAGGACAGGCAACAAAATATCCATGGTACCTAAGGCTCCCGGCAAGTACTTAAGGAACCGACCAGGGTATCCGAGCAGCTCAACAGTCGTGGATGGGCTGGGGATGGGGGCCCGTAGACTAAGTGTGTTGTTTTTGGGCCATTCCAGCACTATGGCATACACAGCAGTAGTGGAGATAAGCTTCTGAGATGTATACCTGGAAACAAAGTTATTAAAACTCTAAAAGCTGCAAAAAAACAAATAATCTTTTATTCTTGACAGATGTCTACTCCCAAGAAAAATTAAAGTTACAATATTTCTGTTTCTTAATCTGTCTCATAACATCTCTGTACATGGTTTTAGACTTTCTATTTGAAGCATTACAGATTGTTAGCTTCATGTACACAAATCAAAACTACATTTGCTCTTATACATAATAACACATAACTGAAATACGTTTGTTTTTCATATTAACAGTGAAATTATGTACACGAAAACTATATACTACCTTGTCCCTTTATAATAACCACAATTAAAACTGAATTTTTCTCTTTTGGTATTAATATACTAATTTACCAGACACTTTTTGTAGTGTTGTCCTGCTGTGTGTGCCAGGGTTTGGAGTGGTAAACAGCTTCTCCGTTAACAGACATCCATTTTCCAAATTCCCTCAGTCTCACCTCAAATATGGGAATGATTCGACCATCAGATGTGGGACCAACATTCATTAGTAAATTACCACCACAGCTGTAACAAATTTTAATAAAGTGAACACAGAGACCAGTTATATTCTTATTTCAAATTAGAAAATCTGTCTTTTATATACAGTTCCAAGTCATTCTTCTTATCTTTGCTTTTATAAGAAAGTTCTTGACTTCCTGAGCTACCTCCCCTCTCCCCTATCAAGTACCCTGGTTACCTCCCTTTACCTCCTCACTTTAATCGTCTTTTTCTCATCTCACCTAATTGTTCTGGCCATGACAGTGAGGAGCTCGTTGAGAGAAAGAACATCTGCTAAATTGATGTTGCGTCTGTGTGTCCAGCTGTGTCGATCGACAGTCATGGCACTCTCCCATTTGTGGGGCTGAAGTTTACCTACAAATATGAATTCATTTTTGAAAGTACAGTTTTTAACAGCAATTTCATACTACTTTATAATGTTTGAAATAAAACTCGAAAAATAAGTCACAATATTAAATTGTATACAATTATTCAGTTTATAACTCAGACACAATGCCTTTTAAAGTAATCAGTGGGTTGAAATTCAGAAAAGGAAACTTGCATAGAGATACAGCATGAACTGATGTTTATGTCCTCTTCAACTCACCAAAATGTCATTATATGAACATTTTTTTCACCAAACCTTTTCAGACTTTATCATGTCCTTAGGTCAGGATGTAAAGTTTTGCTCTCCATTCAGTACCAGTACTGATCGTATAAATCAGAAATTTTGTGTTATTACCTGGATTGTATTTGTCGGAACAGTCCCAAAAACCTCCATGGTGACATTCGGTGTCATTGCCCCATCGGTCGTTTACTACAACGAAATCTTTGACAGGGCTACAAACAAAAAGCAGTTATAAACCAATATGTTTACTTCACATAAATCTATTTATGTGGCTCTATACATCAGGCCTCTTGATCCGAACAAAATCCCTGTAATTAAAAGTCAGTAGAGTGGGTTTAAGCAGTAACCTATTTTCCCTTCCTAGGTTTGCCAACTTTCCCTTTCCAGATTTGCCTTCTTTTCCTCCCAAGGTTTGCCCACTTGCCATTCCCAGATTTACCCACTTTCCCTCCCCTGGTTTGCCCACTTGCCATTCCCAGATTTGCCCACTCCCCCCCCCCTCCTGGTTTGCCCACTTTTCCTTCCCAGATTTACCTACTTTCCTTCCCCTGGTTTGCCCACTTTCCCTTCCCAGATTTACCCACTTTCCCTTCCCAGATTTACCCACTTTCCCTTCCCAGATTTGCCCACTTTCCCTTCCCAGATTTACCCATTTTCCTTCCCCTGGTTTGCCCACTTTCCCTTCCCAGATTTACCTACTTTCCTTCCCCTGGTTTGCCCACTTTCCCTTCCCAGATTTACCCACTTTCCCTTCCCAGATTTACCCACTTTCCCTTCCCAGATTTACCCACTTTCCCTTCCCAGATTTGCCCACTTTCCCTTCCCAGATTTACCCATTTTCCTTCCCCTGGTTTGCCCACTTTCCCCTTCCCAGATTTGCCTACTTTCCTTCCCCTGGTTTGCCCACTTTCACTTCCCAGATTTGCCTACTTTCCTTCCCCTGGTTTGCCCACTTTCACTTCCCAGATTTGCCTACTTTCCCTCCCCTGGTTTGCCCACTTTCACTTCCCAGATTTGCCTACTTTCCATATCGATTTTCAAAACAAATCTGTAGAAAGCACTAAATGCATTTCTCACTTCATCAAATCAACAGAGTTGGCAAAACCAAATTACCCTGAAGGACGACAGGTACATGACAAATCCATGTACCCTTATTGTTTGTCACTAAACCTATGCCTTGCAATAAGACCATCTATATATATATATATGTATCTTAGTCCAGTATAACTACAAAGAAATACTGTTTCAATATCTTGTAATCAGCCCACTCCTTCACTTTCAGTCAGAATTTGTATGGTAACCTACTTGGCCTATTGTAGGATAAATACAAGGAAAAATTACAAATCTGTGCATTGCCTTCTTCACAAACACAAAACTGCACTAATTAAGATATGTTCTTTGTTGTTGGCTACACTAATGGACTCACCTTTCATTGTAGAGCCAGGCAAGGAATTCCAGAGAACCCCAGTATGATTCCGGGGCACCCATAGGGCCGTCAGACCAGATCAATTCTGGCTGGTAAGTATTCACTAGTTCATACAACTCCGGCATCGTCTTGGTCTAAAAGTCATTACATTGTACAACATTCAATACTTAAAATAACAAATTGATATAAATGTGGCTAAATATAATGTATAAATTAAAATATTAAAGGAGATCTCAATCTGCAAGGTTTTTAATCTCAAACATTATTTCTTTCATTCTTATAGGAATTTACTTTGAATGCCAGATAATTTCATATCAACAACAAAGTTATAAATAATTACTGGTATATGGAATGCTTAATCATGTCTTGCAACATACTTTAATTATTGAAAAGTGTGAAGAAAAATTCAACAGTTAGACATATGTAAAATGTTATACAAATTACTGCATAATTGTTTAATTTTGCCAGGCCAGGTTAATTCCTGGAATTAAATTTTGCTCATGTCAATACATTGGTATACACGTACATAATACATAATTCCTTATATTTTGATTCTCTGTTAAATATTAAATGGATATTAACATTTGCGCTACCTTAAATGACTACAAATATTGAGAAATTTAATTTTGAATTGAATAGTGCCAACTTATCTTATACACCTGTATCAACATATACTTTACCTCAGGGAAGGAACGAGTAGTGTAGTTGTTTGCCTTGTCCTGCAGATACAAAGGGTTGAAGAACTCAAACAATGAGTGATATACACCAAAGTGCATGCCCTTCTCCCTGACAGCTTTCAGAAGATCACCTGAAAGTATAAGAAACAAAATCCAGTTACTTATTTTGTTCATTCAAATTAAAAAAGTCCCAGTTCTAGTGAAGCTTTTAAAAATTTGTACAATACCACATCCAAAACTTTTCAATAAAATGTGATAATTATCATATACAGATTGATTATGAGCAATGTATGAAGAATCATTTGTGGTATGTAATGATGTGTTTTAACACCAGTTTTTTTTTCCATTTATTTGGGAAAAGGTCTTTTTATCTCATTTTAGGAAGCCAAGTGATCACTTGGTAAGGAAATTTTAAGGACTATATCTTTTGTGAATTTGGCCATTTTTTTTATAAAATAAATACAAATGGGAATGGGGACCATATTTGATCCTATAGAGCCCTCAGAAAAAGCTGTGAATGTAAGAACATGAATTAAAACATGTAAGACAAATTACCTAATAAATCTCGTTTCGGACCCACAGCTCCAGCATTCCAATTAAAAGAATACTTTGAAGGCCACATCGTAAAACCTTCATGGTGTTTTGTGACAAGAACAACATATCTGTAAAATATAAATATTAAACACTTGTTTCCATGCAGAGTAAAAACAACTTTAACTATTATTAATACATTAAACCATTACCTGGCTACAACTTTGTAGCATGTTTAAACCGATAGTGACATGCTGAATATCAAAATTCAAATTACATCATGCTGCAATTTCAGTTAAATCTAAATATGTGTTTGTGTGTTACTGGTACAACAAATTGACTTTAAAAAAGAAATATTGAGAAATAAAAAATAACCCTTGTCACGTGCACTCTTATGTAGAACAATTACATAGCTTTATTTATATACGATTTGCACTTATACAAAGAAAATAATTGTAGTTATCAAAATAAATGATAATAATAGGTCGCTGGACATATTTGATAATGAATTCATACTCGAATGATACAACATGTTTACAATGTATGCTGAAGGTTCCGGTTATCTGGTTATGTAAACAGGTGTTACCTAGCCCCTGACGCCTGGAAAATATCGGCCCATTGCTCAGGATCGAAAAATGCCGCATGGAATTCAGCAGCGAAGTCCTGATAAGTGAAGCCAGGTCTGTAATTCTTTTTCATAAAGTCTACATAAGCAGGAACCCCGTGGTGTAGGTAGTACCAGAACCAAGCTGATCCGAATGCAGGGACAGAATACACTCCCCAGTGAAGAAATATACCGATCTTCGCTTCATCATACCAAGTCGGCAACGGACGAGAATCTAACGATTCCCAGTTAGGTTGGTACTTCTTAGCAGACGTCAGTGCAAATAATAAAACAAATATATTCACAAAAATACTTAGCTTTCCCATCTCGATGCAAATGTTTGTTATGGTCGAAAAGTCACGAGACCAAACACATTGTGTAGTGTTCACACGAACGCTTTTATCACAGGCTAAATTACTAGACTTGTCACAGCGTCTTAATGATACAGACCTGATGGTTAAAGATGCATAACCACCAAAAAACATGTTGGTTTATAACTGTGACAAGTCTTATTCGTCAAATACGAAATTTACATGATTTAGTTACACCTTAACTAAGTTATCACAAGAAATGAGATAGAAGCACTGCCTAAAAGGAGACTCCATAACTGAAGTTGTCGACTTAACGTTATCACTTTAAAGGAAAATTCGTATTAAAATATTCAAGGTGTTCACACATAGGGTGCGTTCGTGCTACCGGCTAAAACAGTCCAGACAGACATAGGAACGTACCGTGTAAAACAAACGACCGGCCTGAAATTGAACCGAGGCTACAATCCAAGATGGCTGACAAAGACGAATAACTGGGCATTTCGCCTGGACTATTTTTGCTTCTTGACGACTTTTTGGAATCCGACGAAGCAATCGACAGCGACAATGACGATGACATGTTCTTTTTTTTGAACACCACCAACAAAACAACTTTTACGACAAAACTATGCCAAATTATACGCGCACGGAGTTTCATTCCCATTTCCGAATGACACCGGCTTCTAATAATTTTATATCGGAAATAATAAGTTTCCTTGAGCGAATCAACAGTGTGTTGAATTCCACCATGTCCTCCCATAACCGAATCATGATAGAGAGAAATGACAGTCTTCATCATAACGTCTGGTATAACAAGCTGGTAATGTGCTAGGCTATACATCTACACGATCAGGAGGTGGAGAGATACCAGCTTCTGTGATATTGTGACCAAGAAAAATGCAAGATTTCTGAGCAAAAGAACACTTTCAGGGTCCTAGCTTCAATCCAGCAGTAGAAAGTCTGTCAAACACCTTCTCTAAATCTTCCAAATGTTGGGGAAATGTTGGTGAGCTGATGAGAATATCATCAAGGTGGCAAAGGCAAGACTTGAATGTTAATCCACAAAGAACTTTGTCAATCAAAAGTTGGAATGTACTTGGGGCTGAACTTCATCCCAAAGGCAACCGTTGAAACTGGAATGTTCCATAACAAGTGTTAAAGTCTGTCAGCCTTGCACTCTCGGTGTCAATGGGCATTTGGAAAAATCCTGATGACAGATCAATTGAGGTGACGAGGAATTTGATTGGAGAATGATTCTGTTAGTTCCTTAAGGTTAGGTATGGCATATTGAAATGTTTGTGTTTGTGAGTTCAGGCCCCACTTGTATAAAACATCTCAACTTGAGATTTCCTCAAGCCCAGATTTTTTTCAGCTAATATCTCCTTGAAAATATCTTGTATGGAAATTCCTCAAGGAATTTCAGGACATCCTAGCCGATGCCTTCCTCCTGTTCCTTGAGAAAATTTTATACAAGCCGTTTTTGAGGAGATATCAGCTGAGGAAAATCTCGACTTGAGGAAATCTCAAGTTGAGATGTTTTATACAAGTGGGGCCAGGTACATAAAATCAACTCAAAAACGAAACTGAGAAAGACTTTAATCCCTAGTAATTGGTTGTGTTGGTTTGCTGCCTTTGCCTCGTTTTGAAACAAGAACCACTGGGCTTGTTATGATGATTCCCTCTGCCTCATTTACTGTTGTGATATTCCTTGACGCGAGAATTCATCCAGCTGGTGCCTCAAAACTTCTCTTTTGTCAGGAGGAAGTCTATATGGTGGTTGATATTTTGGTTTGAAATCCGGCTTAAAACGAATCTTATGAGTGACAACATTAGTGTAACCTAAATCAGGGGAGTCCGCAGTAGCAAACAGTTGTTTGTGCTTCAATAGGAGAGTTTTGAGTCATGCCTGGTCTTGCGGAGACAAATGATCTGGTATATCAAAGTTGGAAAAGTATAGGTCTTATTCGCTTTCTTGGTTGGAGCTCAACTGAATATTTTGAACGAAATCATCTGACAGCGAAGAACTTTCATCATTTGCCGAAGTGTAAGTGAAGTGGGCAAGAGTCTTGCCTTCAAACCTGGTTTCTGGATCATTTCATTTTCTGATTTATTAATCAGTTTTCCTTTCTCTAGGACAAGCCAATCGAAATCTTCAATTGGCTGTCCAGGGAGAAGTTTCAAGGCCTGGAAGTTTGCACTTTCTGACAGCATATGAGGACTTTGCAAGTCAAGAGTAAGAAACCTGTCCTTCAATGCTGTTAACACTGCTTCCCAGCTTGTTTTATGTGTTGCTGGTAGATTATTAAACCATGTTAGGAGGCTGGGCCCTGTAAATGGAGATGAAATTCTGCGATTTTCCTTGACGAATCAACATCAATCAATGTGGCAAACGAGTCAAATTCATTCAAAAATTTGTCTCCATTTTCATAGGGGTATCCTGTAAATTTTGTACAAGAGATTGACTTATCCATATTGAAATTTAAAGAATCCAATGCAGTATATTGATTAGGTCCAGAACACGAAGCCTCACACAATTTGTTATTACAGAAAATTAGCTCATGTAAGTCGGGAATTGAAACTTCTGACAGATTGTCATTTGTGTAAGCACCTGAAATTGATTTGGAACCACTGGATACAGATAAAATGTCAGAATGGATATATGTGTCATTAAAAAGTTGATTCTGGTCTGAAAATACATCATCAAAAATGCCGCAACTGTCATCGCTATCAACTTCTGATTCATAAATAACTTCAGCAGATATCCTATTCATGACATCATATAGCTATATGTTGTTTACTGTGGTCGATATTAGTTATTGTTCGTTTACATGTATCAACAACTGTTCATAGAGCTTATAATGTCGGCCGGTGGGCTTTCAAGAATAAACAGCTCTGTACGTAAACATATAAACAATCAATAACACATCAACGTTGGGGAGTGGGCTTTGAACATACATGTAAGTCGGCCGGTGGGCACAGGACATAATGCAATAATGTTAAGTTCGTGTAATAGAAAAACAGTATGAATATTAGAAAGTCGGCCGGTGGGCTTTCGACAATTAATTAATACCAGTAGATAATCGGTGATAAATGTCTAACACTTTCTCCTGCCAAAGTCTTAGTAGGTTGCGTTGCGGGTGAATACCATCATAAAGTTTGTTATATGAAAAATGTGATGTTCTTCCCCAAGAATACGGAGGGCTGTATGGAGTAGTAGATGGACTTGAGTATGGATATTGTTGAATTCCCCAATAAAATCATTTAGTTTGGCTACAAAATCCTCAAATGATTTCTGATGGGTTGTTGTAACATCAGAAAGAGTCAATTTAGATTTCTGGGGATATTTTTGAATTGTGGATTGAAGATTTTTGGGAGGAATGGTGCCAAATAAGATGAGAGCTGTTTGATTGTGTCTGTAAATTTCATTCTCAATGTCCAAAATTTTTTGAGTAATTTTATTGAAGCATCTGGTTTGATCATTGATTGTATGATCCCCAATATCATCTGGGATATCATTGATACCGGGACATATTATATAGAGTTGGTTACTTGTGTCAAAATGACGCAGTAATCTAACCTGGTCTCCTAGCTTTGACCCTGGTGATATTCGGACAGAGATTCTGCCAATACTGGTACCAGCGAATCTGGAGTCTATTACTTAATGTCTGTTGAACAGAAATAACACAGGCACTGAAGTAGGGACGAGTTGTCTTAATTTAACCGACGATATTTATGAATTTAGTTTATATGTAATAATCAACGATTCAGTCAACAAACTTACCATCCGACAATTACATCGTGGCATGCAAATGGGGAATAGCTCAAAACGAATTTGGACCCTCCACCATATTGTGTTGAATTAGTTAAATAACAAGAGTGCCGTGGACACAATATACACCGCCACAAAATATAAAGACCAAGATTGGTCCTTTTAATTATCGCTTTTAACATGTCTGTATCATAAATCTTACAAAAGAACCGAAAATCGCCCCTTCATGCACATCTACCCATTGTAGTAGTGACGTTGAGCAAGTTCCATGAAAGTCTGATGATAAGTTAAGGAGGAGTTGCGTTCACAAGAAATGGACGCACGGACGGATGTATGGATGTCCGGACGTACAGATGGAGAAGATGACGCTAATATACGACCGTCTTTTTCTCATTCCAGTTAATTACTGACAACATATGGGGATACCGGATCACTGACCAGTTGCCAGAAAAATACAACTATAAACATGCTGCAACCCGAAATACGATGGAATGCAGCTTTGGCCTTCGAAAGGGAAACTACACTACATGGACCTTCTTTAAATCACAGGTATTTGTAAAATTATATTTGCATGTTGTGTCCTTCATAACTTTGTTATTGCAAGTGATGGTCAGGATGCCAATGAAACAAACCAAGGGTGTAGCGTGATTAATGAAGTTCCTTCAGATGATGGCCATTGCTACACAGATGTTGGATGTGGTGAAAGGGGGAGACAAAAAAGGGATGATGTTGCAGCATCATTGGAATGAAAAAGAGAATTTGCAATAAAAGTGATTGTTATTGCTAAAAAATAACCAATTCCAATCTTTATATATATATTTGGAACTGTAAAGTATAAACAAACTTATTTGAACACTATCCAATTGCAATAGTAACATGAAAAATGGAAAATTATCAGAGTCATATTAGAGCTGTTGTTGTTACAAACGATATTAATATATTGATGATTCCTATTTTAAGATACCAAATTTCTGAGTATTGATACAAATACACCTGCTAGTTAACTTGTATCTCAGCAATATTAAAATCATAAGTACTGAATGTGATATTTTCAGACCCAAAATGACTTGTACACAGTACAGTGTAGAAATAGAAATATGGTATTTTCCAAGTCTTCATTAAGTATTGATATATATAACTAGAACACGGACAGGTCAGAAAGGGCCACGCATGGTGGCTATCGATATCTCCCAAATCATTAATCCCCATTTTCATCAAAAATGGGAAAAATATCAATTTTTTAACCAAG